TATAGAGGAGAGGAGAGCAGAAGATTACGCGATCTGAACGAGCTGAACGGCCCGATGGGCGGAGTCGCTCCGCCTCAAACAGGCGGGGCGACCCCGCCCATCGCGCCAACCGACATGCACCCGGTTTGAAGGGTGATTGGAGCGCGCAATGTATGTGCCAAAATCGAGTGGTTGCCGCACTGCTGTCTCAAAGGGTGGGTGATAAGGGAAGCACAGCTTGAGAGACAGCACTATTGAAAGTTTGTGCGCTCGACAGAGCGATTTTGGACAAAGAACTGGTCATCCTAGGTTGATACATGCCACTGCCGCTTAATCATCGAAACCTGGTTCCCGAAACCTCCGGTGGTTAACCGCGTCAGGACCTTTCGACCCTTACACATTGAAAACAAAGTGTCCCGACAGTATGGATCGGACTAGTTTCGGTGTTCTGACGACAATTGCATGTATCAACGTACACCCCAAAAACTTGATCAAACTGAACATGAAAGGCTCTGCTCTGGATTTCAAAGTAACCGTGGCTGAGACTAACATGTTCCCATTTAATTACAATACTCATACTTCGGAGTGCTTGAATCTCGCGGTACAGCAATCAGGGCCAAGAGTCTGAGTTGAATGCCCACTTGTCTCACTCCATAGGTTTGCCCGACTTCCCTATGTGTGATTACTTTATAGCATAGTCCCATGATCGCGAAACTGCCTTGTATGGACTGTCGCAATGCAGCAAAATTTTGTTTCTCTCTACATTTCTACAACTTCTCCATAGTACCTGCTTATGATGGTACGGCTCGCTTGCATCATGCAGTCCCTTGATTATCGCTTCTGTGTCTTCCATGTACGAGGCATTTGTTCCGGTTCCTGAAAAGAACAGTAAACCCACAGCGGAATGCCGCATGCAGAAGCACATGAAGTTAGATCTGCTCTATTTTCGCTGAAAAGGAGGCCTCAAGAATTTTTAGTTCATGACGGCACGAGAGGAAAGGGTGAAGGACAAAGCTCCGGTGTCTAAGGCCGTTCCGTTTCTGAGATGCGCCAGTGCTCTACTTCCATTCAGAATCGTTGCGGGGTAGTTATGAACTCTGATGCCATCATACACATATGGCTTATGGTGGCCAGCCAACGTCTAAGCCGGTGCCTTATTGGTTTCAGACGGAAGACCTAAACTACTCTGCCCAGGAGAGATGGGAGGCTTGGTTGGACCGGGGGTAGGAGCAGGAGGAGGGGAAGGAGGTAACTATTGTTGAAGAGATGGCTCCGCGCAAACTTTCATTTCAAGAAAGTCACTAGTTGAATGAATCCCGCGTGTTTCTGGCTCACTCACCGATAATGACTCCCAGATCGCACTTTCCATTCGTTTCATAGGCCCCTGCCACTATTGTTCCTACAGTATCATTAAGCACTGCCATCACTTCGACTTTGACCCTCTGAAAGGCAATATATCAAATAAATCTGCAGTCAGTTTAGAAAAAACTGTCCTATATTACAGTGTAACAGAACTTTCAAGCAACGATAATGGTAGAAAGGAGCTCGTTTTCGAAAATCTTGGTCTGATGAGACGTTACATTAGCCTGATTCAGACAGTGGAATGCTATCGGACTTCTGGACTTATGATTGTCGATATTCCAAGTTGTTCAAATTGTAATAAATTATTTTGTTCAGTATAGTAAACGCTTCAACAAATATAACGATAAACTAGATACTCACTCCGTCTCTTTTGATAGCTTCTTCCAATAGCTTTACCACATCTTCGCCAATTACTCCCGTTGTCGTGAAGCTCTTCGTCCACCTAAACCAAGTCAATTAAGTTTGTAAAGTTGCTCTTGCCTTTCACTGTACACTCTTCGTATGAGTTCACTGATGGCTTCGAATTCCAGCGAACCAGTACAAATACGACAGACACGGAAAATATGGGTACGAAAATACGAAATTTCTGACGGGCTGGGGAATTTCGAAGGCACACTTCGCGATAGAAATGGATTCTGAGATTCTTCCCAAGGATGAACCTATGGCCACCAAGGGCAGCATAAAGGATGCTGTGGGGTCGAAAATTGGCCTAGATACAGCTCCAAGACCTAACTTCACTTACCGCAACAAGGTAGCAGCTCTTATACTTGTTTGATGGCATGGATACGAGAATGTGAAGCCAAGCAGTAGATTTTCTTCAGCCAATCCTTTCTCTATCAGAAAATCTCCGAGCACTTTGGCAATGTAGTCGAACAGCTGGAAGAGGAAAAAATGTTTTTTTTACTCCAGCTCTAGTTACGTTTTCGCATATTCTCAACATAACTGCATGGTCCTTACTCCTTGAAAGTCGGATGTAATGACCTGGGGCGCTACCGGCTCACCCTCATAACTCACCGAGCAGGCTGAATAGGCCCCAAAGAGCACTACTATTTCGAGTAAAACTGAATACATGGGCACATCCCAAGATAGAATTAGTTAATTTTGGAAATTTTTAAGGTTGTAAGGATGAATACCTGTTCACTAGTGCCCTGCATGACCGCACTCGGTACGCTGGTGTTATACTG